CCCCAAAACCCCAAAACCCCAAAACCCCAAAACCCCAAAACCCCATATAAGGAAAAGAACATTGACGTCAATAACTATATTTAAATCACTAACTTATCGATGATTATCCCTCGTAGATTATCCTATGCTCGTTCTATTATGTCATCCAGAACATTCTCTTCCCTAGGATGCCCTACTCAAGAGTCTACTTTTGCCATGGTGAAGCCTGATGGTATGAGCCATCTTGGAGAGATATTTGAAAGACTTCATTCTGAGGGATTCTTAGTGAAGAATATGAAGATGACGACACTCAATAAGGCTACTGCAAAGATTGCATATGAAGATATTACTCATCATGATTATTACCCTGCCTTCCAAGACTACATCACAAGTGGCCCTATCCTCGCCATGAGGCTTAGAAGACTTGACGCTATAAGCCATTGGAGAAAAGTAATTGGTCCAACTGATTCTGAAAAGGCAAGGGAGACTCATCCAGATACACTAAGAGCTCTTATTGGGACTGACAATGTAAGAAATGCTGTACATGGAGCAGAGACTCAGAACGAAGTTACCAAATATTGCAACACTTTCTTTTCAAGTACCTCAATTTTTAAAAGAGGAGAATCTAAGACCCCAAATGCTACCCTCAGTCTCACTCCTACATTCATTGAGTCAGGCAAACTTGGAACTTTCTTTAGCATAATATCGAGAGAAGGGTTAAGGATCGATGCCATGAAGACTTTACACACAGACGAAATCAGAAGCCTCAGCCCAACCATTTCCACCTCCATTCAAGAGAAACTTTCAGCAGAAAATACTCCATCCGGAAATGTTTGTATTGTAGAGCTTTCTCATCCAAACGGCTTCCGTACGCTCCAAGAGGGGATTGGCGGACTTGCCTTAGGTTGCGGAATTCCAAATTCAAGATTCGGCTCAGACGAAGAGTCCTACGCTGCTAAGCTTTTAGCTTAAATGAAAGAAATACGTCATCTTTTAATTAGATTCAATCCGTATCATTATGAAAGGGGTTTTGGGGTTTTGGGGTTTTGGGGTTTTGGGGTTTTGGGGTTTTGGGGTTTTGGGG